CTTCTTTTTCTCCTTTGAAAACTTCTCTTTTCAGCCCTCAACTCCCTAACTTCCTCATGTACATCACTACCATACTCTTCCTCATCATCATCTTCAACTAATTCAGCCTCAACACTATCCTCAGTTGAATTATCAGAACCCTCTATTTCTTCTTCTGAGAAATCAGGTCCAGTAGGACCAACATCTATATCATCATCTCCTACACCATCTGCAGTAGTAGTATTGAAAGGAGGTGTGGTAGTGAAAGGAGGTGAGGTTGAAAAAGTAGCAATAAGGTCCATACTGTTTAAATGGTCTTCACCTACCCCAAAGTTAAAATTTTCACTCTCACTAGGCCTTGTATTAAAAGATGAACCAGATTCTCCCATATCCACATAACTACCATTTTCTATTAACATGGGCCCTACAATTGCCTCATCAACCAAATGCCTAACAACTACCTCCACTACATCCCCATCTTTCAAGAACACATCATGTCTAAAATATCCTTATCATTATCAACATCTACCAAAATGCCATTGTTAGGTGCTTTAATATTGAAGGTGCAAGTTGTACTATATCGCAATTCTCTAATATAGTCTTTCAACTCAAAATATGACATTTTTATCTACATCAACATTCAAAAATTCTGTAACTTTTCCACCATTATATATTGGTTCCCCACTACTTAAATCTAACACCCCACCATGGTTCCACCTTAGAGTAATCAAAGTAAACCCATACATCTCTTACCTGAAGGCAATAAAAAAAATAGAATAGTAATTATAGACATACTCTAACCTGAGGGCAATCCAAAAAATAGAATAGTACTTAAAAACGTAGTATCATTGTAGCAATATGAACATAATACTAAGACGAACATAATACAAAATTACGCGACTTAGACGAGAAAGGGAAAAACCTAATTTCATGAAAATGTAGTATAATATGGTGTAAATGAACACATGTAAGTATAATCGTAAGCCACACATAAGATTTCACACAATGTTGCTCTTAATTTCACGAATCAACAGAAACCCTAAGGGATAAAGCACAAATTCGAAATAAGGGATAAAGAACTAACACTTTACTAAATCAGTTGATAAACTACGAAATCAAGTTCAAAATACACAGCAAAATCCTTTGATCATCAACAGAAATGCATATGCAAATGGTGAAGGAGATGAAAAGGAGAAAGGATATTTTTTTTGGGTCTTTTACGTTTTACGAGGGAAATGGGAAAAAAAAACAGCTATTGGGAGTTGAAGAGGTGAGAGACCCGGACTATTTGTTTGGTTTATGTGTTGAGGTCAGCGTAAAATAGAGAAATATGAAGTTCAGGGGGGTAATAGGATACCCGTGAAGTTGGAGTGTGTAGTTGAGATTTCGGGTATAGGTTCCCGGACTATTTGTTTGGTTTATGTGTTGAGGTCAGCGTAAAATAGAGAAATATGAAGTTCAGGGGGGTAATAGGACACCCGTGAAGTTGGAGTGTGTAGTTGGAATTTCGGGTATAGGTTTGGGAGGGGGGAGGGGGGGATTTAGACCATTTTCTCTAATATTTATGAGCCTTTTCCCTTTTATTTTTTTCTTGGGTTAAATTCCCTTCTATCAATTAAGGCTTAGACAAAGAGCAAAACAATCACCTATGTATTTACGTATTTAAATCAAAAACCTCGTGATTCTCCATTTACTTTATTAACCATCAGACTTCACATTTAAATAAATATTTAAATGCGCGCACTCAATAAATCGTATCAAGTTTAAAATTGTGCCTAAAAAATAAGAAAGAAATCTTGCAAAATCCAGTTAACTAATAATTTAATTGTATGAGAATAATTCCTTGTAAGAATAATATACGGTCAAAAAAACCTATACGTAGTCAACTACAAGTATTTAAATACATATAATATATATATCCCTCATACGAGTCAGCATTCATACCATTTTTCTCCCTTGGTTGAATACTGCAATTTTTATTTGTATATTCTCTTAAAAGAGAAAAAAAAAATGTGTGTGAATAGAACCCTTATTTTAATTTATTAAAATATGAGTAGTTTAATCTATTTTCCATCTTTTATTTGGATTGACTAAAAAGTTGGTCAAATATACTAGTATTATTTTTAGTTTTTGAAAGTGTTTGACAAGGTTACAAATAACTTAAAATAAGTTTAAAATGACTTTAAAAGTTAAAAACCAAAAGTTAATCTCGCCTACTTTTTATTTTTTTTAAACTTAAAAATCATTTAAATTTGATTTTTTATTTTTGATACAAAAGTTATTTATTTTTTTAAATCAATCCAAACGGAATCCCTAGGTCTTCTAATTGTCAGTCAATATACGTTGGCTTGGAACAGGATTTTGTGGGCTTTAATTGGTAGATGACTAGATCCCACGGCTACTATTAATTATTTTTTTAAGATACAGGCTGATCTGGGGGAATAAATAATGGTATTTCCAGTCTTATTAGGGCACAAATTAATATAGATTTTCAAAAGTGTGACCTTTTTCAAATATAGATTGTAAAAAATGGGATTTCATCTAATATTAAAAGAAATTATCAACCAAGATAAAAAAAAATACTTTAGATATGTTTTTGAAAAGAAACCATACGACGAAGGATAACATTTTGAACCATAACGAGATAACATATTCAATATAGTCTCAATGGTAGAATTAACTAATAATTACCAAGTTGATCAAAGCACATTATTCCAGAGTCAAAGAAACCTGCATATATATTAGAGAGAGAAAAATAAATTAAATTTGTTCTCATACTATTCAAAATTGAGCAATTTTTGCTTTTGTTAAATTTGTTTTTGTCTAATATTGTTCTTTTTCTTTCTGTAAGAAAGAGTCTTTTTTTTTTTGCCCTATCCTAATGAAGCACCAATTGATTGATTTAGACATTTTTCTCGAAAATTTTGGACACATCCAACTGATTAATTAATGTGTGAATGAGACCAATATTGTAATGAATGACAAAATTGAACAATTTCAAATATTACGATGCAAATTTAAACTTCTCTCCTATATATTATGACTATGACTAAATAATTATATTGAATTGTACACATATATAACCTAATTAAAAATAGGAAAACTATACATAATTCACTACCATAAAACATTATGTATGTTATCACTAATTAAGAATTTTCTATGTATCTTACACTTAGATTCATGTATTTGCTGCCAGATACAATAAAATAGGGAGAGAGGCAAGCAAAATTGGGGAGGGAGTCTAGCGAAATTCGTATGTATCCCAGATACATGTGAACCACACTAGATACACACTAGATACATGTGTATGTATCTGGAGTGATGATTCACATGTATCTGCGATACCATATACATAGGAGAGAGTGGCAAGCGAGATGGAAGAGAGGCGAGCGAGATTGTTTTGTATCCTAGATACATGCGAATCCACTTGGATACAATGTATTTAGAACAAATTACATTTGACTCCATGTATCCGGGATACATGTATCTGGATGTATCTAGACACTCCAAAATCTGGTTAGATACGTAATATTGCAAACTAGGTGTATTGCAAATTGAGAATATAGTGAAAGTAAACATCATTTGAACATTTCTTATGTAGAGTAAGCAACAAATTAATAATGTCACATGTTCTTTGATAAATAATAATAGCAAATCATCTGCATAAAATACATAAGTAATGCACATGACTTCAGAACATTGGAGATGAAACTTGAATTCCATGACTATGGCAAATAGGAATGTACACATATATATTATATATAGCTAGGATCTCCTTGTTTTAGCAGCATCAAAAGGCTTTAGTGGGTTTACCTTTGACAATTATTGAATAGTTTATACTACTTTTTTGTCCAAATTTATATGACTCGGTTTCTTTTTTTAGTCAATTTATAAAAGAATTACAAATTTCTTTATTTAGTAATCATTTAATTTTAAATGTATATTTTACTCTTAATGAAATGATATGTAACCACACAAACATTTAAGACGTATTTTAGATCACAAATTTCAAAAGTCAGTCTTTCTTTCTTAAACTCAATGTCAAGTTAAATTACAATCACATAAATTAGAAACGAATCCATGTTTTCCATTTGATAATACCAAATCAAGTTATTAAGAGAGTCAAAGAAATCTGCATATATAATGAGTAAATAATTATATTGAGCAGTAGTTATCTCCCTGATTATATGCTAATAATAACAATGAAAGGTAGTACTTACATCATTAAAATAGGCTGAAAATAGTAGTCTACATATAGTAGTTTGATAAAGTCAAATAAGTTTTTTATTTTTTTATAAAAAATAATTCCTTCCTAAGAGCTTCCACCTTTTTGTTATCTTGATGACTTGGAACTTACAATCTTCAAATTGGAAGTGAGATGTGCTTACTCTGCGAGCAACACCTTCTTGTCATAAAGTCAAATAAGTACATCTGTATCATTTTATGTGGCATCATTTTTTTTAAATGGGCTCCAAAAAAGATGTCACCTTTCTATAGTTAGAAACAGTTTACCTTTAAAATTCCTCTTTAACCTTTAATGAAATGATTTATAATCACACAAATATCTGGGAATTGTTTTAGCCTACAAGATTAAAAAATGTTCCTTTTTATTTTAAATATCGTGTCAAGTTAAATGGTGCACATAAAATAAGATGGGAGAGATTTTTTATTTTTTTTTAAGAAACGAGAATATTTTATTGATAAACTAATATGAGTACAATTATGTTCCTCCCTTAATTCTACTCTTTTAAGATTTATCCATGATCAGAAGGTCATTAGTGACATATTTCTCGAATATGATAATTTAAATTTAATCTTTTTATGAATATTTTATGAATTTGTGAAATATTTGAGATAAAAGAGAAAATTAATTTGTGTAATTGCATAAGTGGGTCGTGAGTCCTCCGTGGTTCGTAATTTTCTCACGCGGCAATTAAGTCAAAGTCGTCCACCTCATTATGTCCCACGAACACTTGAACAATACTATTATAAAAATTGTCTATTCGCTTTGTTATTTCCTCCAATTTTAATTTTGATTGCAATTAATTGCCTAGAAAGCATTTATTGCACAAAGCTACATTATTTCACTCTCATAATTGTACGTACCTTGATATATTTATAGATATAGATATCTTGAGGAACAAGTTTTGAGTGTTTTTTCTTTTAGATCAGACGACGACGACGAAAGATGGCGGGTGGTGGTGGTGGAAGATCGTTGGAGCAAACGCCGACGTGGGCGGTTGCCGTTGTTTGTTTTGTGTTAGTTGCAATATCTATTGTCATTGAACATATTATCCACCTTATTGGAAAGGTAACAATATTTTATAACATATATAAAAAAAATTATAACATAATTAAACCTTTAACACTTGTTGTTTTAATTGATTGCAGTGGTTGAAGTCTAAAAATAAAAGTGCCTTGTATGAATCACTTGAAAAGATCAAAGCAGGTTATACATGTTTCTTAAACTTTAGCCCATACTGATTCTGCCTGTAATCGGAAGAAATTACCAAACTAACAATAAGATTTTATTTGTTTACAGAGCTTATGCTGCTGGGATTCATATCATTGCTGTTAACAGTAGGACAAAGTCCAATTTCGAACATATGTGTATCAGAAAAAATAGGAAATTCATGGCATCCATGTAGTAAGGAAGAAGAAGATAATATAATTTCAGAAGATTCGTCGTCTGAGCAACACCGTCGGAGACTTCTTATGGAGGCCGCCGGTGGTGGCGTTCGACGAATATTGGCTGGTGGTGGTGGAGATGACAAATGCGCAGCCAAGGCATGACTTTAATTTTCATTATTAATTCTAGTTATCAATTTTGAACAATTTTTTTGAAACATATGAGACTTTCCTCGAAAGTTCCTTTATAAAAGGGTCTAAAAGAATGATCTAGTTTCTTTTTAAGTCTGTTTAAAAAAGAATGATCTATTTCTTTTTTTTTGTTACACTTTAATTTCAACTTTCCATATGGCATGTTTAAAGCTCTAAGATTAAATGGCATTTTGGTATATTTGACATAACTTTAATTTAAAACCACATGATTGAAAAAATAGTTATTTAAACACTTAATTATAAATTAATTTTCTATGATAGAAATAGTAGGATTTTTTCTTAACTTATTTGTTTTAAAAAATATTTTTGCAGGGAAAAGTACCATTTGTGTCTGCTGATGGAATTCATCAATTACACATTTTCATCTTTGTGCTGGCTGTTTTTCATGTCCTCTATTGTATTACAACTTTGGCTTTGGGAAGAGCTAAGGTAATTTTTTTCCACTTTTTTCTATTTTAATGACAATTTTTTTCCGTATACACTTTTTCTTTTTGATGACAATTGAGAGGTTGTAAGCATTCTTAGTCACAGCTGAAAAAAGGTCAATTAGTAAGGCAAGACAATACGTCAGTTTGGCTCTTTGCGGAATATAGCTTACTCAAAAATATCTAATTATGAATAAAAGTACAACTTCTATTTTGTTTCTTTTTTCATATATATAATTTTTTGTTGGGTATTTTCAGATGAGAAGTTGGAAGTCATGGGAAAATGAAACCAAAACAGCTGAATACGAATTTTCTCACGGTAAAAAAAATTCAAATTTACATCATTTTTTAACGTTCATTTTGAATATAGTGAATATTTATGTTTAATAAATAATCAGTTACGTATATATATATATTTGAAAAAGTAAAATATTCTAGAAGAAGTAATTAATTGATTATGATGTTATATACGTGGCAGATCCTGAGAGGTTTCGATTTACAAGAGAAACATCATTTGGAAGAAGGCACTTGAGCTTTTGGACCAAAAATCCTATCCTACTTTGGATTGTAAGCATATACTCTTTCCGTCCACTTTTATTTGTCACATTTTTCAAAAGTCAATTTGACTAATTTTTAAAGTTAAATTAAATTACATTAATTTGATATTTTAAATAAAAAATTTAGATATTCAAAAACTCTACAAAAAGTACTACAAATTACAATTTTTTGCATATCAATATGATGAAAAAATATATTGTAGAATATTAGTCAAAGTTCTTATAATTTGACTCTAAAAAAACAAAATCATGACAATTAAAAATGAATGGATGTAATACTAATTTAAATCTCCATAACTTTTCCTTTTCCTATTTTTTTTTCAAAAAAAGTTTCACCGTTTATATACACGGACAATATAAATCTTAAAAGGAAAGTCCTTTCATTTTAATTTATCATGTACTTTTGCTTCCCCATAGTCTATATGTCTAAATATTTTAAAGCTAAATTGTGTTACATTAACTTAATATTTTTAAATTAAAACTAAAATATTAAAAATTTAAAAATAATATAAATTATAATTATTCTCATATCAAGATAATGAAAAATATATATTTTATAATATTGATCAAAATATATATAATTTGAATACATAAAAAAATGACAGAGTATAATATAAATTAAGGTAGAAGAGAAATAATTACTTAAATTATCATAATAAGTGAAGTGAGTATATTATGAAGACATCAAACATGTTATAATCAATTAAATTATACTAATAATGCAAATTAGTGGAATGAATAAACAAAAAATCAAGAACGAACCTTCACGTATATTAGAAAAGGTCAACGAAATGGTTTAGATTATTCTAATTGATATGATTATTATACTAGTGGAGATTACTATTTTCACATAGGCACATGCATTACATTAGGTAGTATTTGGATCAAGCAAATATTAGTTTACGAGATTTATGAATTTCTCTACACTGAAAGTGAATTTTTAGTAATCATAACTCGTGTTATAGATTATCAAAAAATTTCACAAAATAAATTTCTTTTATTCACAACCTAAATATATTTGGACGACGCAAATCGTTTTCTTTTTCCTTTTGGACAGCTAATCCTAGTTGTTTATTATGGTGAGAAAATTCTCTTTTTTTTCCTACCATATTCATAATCATACACGATTGATTATGATTAAGAAAAAAACAAGCTAATATATAGACTAAGGGACTAATTATTTCCAATAATACACAATATTATACTGTTCACGTTAATTCTAGAATGGACATACAACATGCTAGAAGGTTGCTTTAATTTTGCAAAACAGAATATCAATAATGGAATTTTTTATTATCTCAATCATTCCCTTTTTAGCATGTGTACTAAGTAATCTAATATTTTGTTACAACAATTTTAATATAAGATCGTTCAATGGTGAATATAACTAACTTTTTCAACAAGCAATTTAGTTTGACTTTTGACTTCAAAATAACAATACTTATGTATGGTGTAACATTTTTTCTTTGATTGAATTTTTTTCATTCATAAATAAATAACGATCTGAAAATTATTATACCACAATTATTATCTCTTTGTTTATTATTTTCTAATAATTTTAGCTTGGCTAATTTTGCAGGTTTGTTTCTTTAGGCAATTTGTAAGATCTGTCCCAAAAGTTGACTACTTAACACTTAGGCATGGATTTATTACGGTAATAATTAATTTCACCCATGAACAAAACAAAAAAAAAAAAACTAAACTCAGTATGCATTTAACTATTTTTTATTATGATTATGAAAATACAATTTTTTAAAACTTGTTTTTTTTTAAAATTTGTAATATTACTAATTTACTATTAAATGATGTCAGGCACATTTAGCACCTCAGAGCCACCAAAAATTTGATTTCCGGAAGTACATTAAACGGTCACTTGAAGAAGATTTTAAAGTGGTCGTAGGAATCAGGTTATTTAATAATTTCATTTTTTGTAATTTTTTAAATATAAATTATAATTATATTTTATGCTAATCTTTTTATTATTTCTTGAATGTTTTTTTCAGTCCCCCAATATGGTTCCTCGCCGTGCTCTTCTTACTCTTCAATACTCATGGTAAATACAAACTACTTCACAATATTACTACATAAAAATAAAAATGATCTTTATCAAAAATTAATTAACAATAATAGTTTAATTACTATTAAATATGATATTTTAGAGGCAATTAACTGTCTTTGTAAATGTCTCTGAATCCTATTGCGAAATTGGATTCAATGACAATTAACTAATGTCGATAAAGACGGTAACACTCTTTGTTAATTAGTGTGCATATTTATTGCCACCAAAAAATATTCTTGTTATAGTGTATATATACAATCAGGAGCTTGATTTAGAAGTCCATTTATGTGTTCGGTGGGTAATTCAAATTCTTCATTTTTATTAAGAAATTTATTAAATATATGAAAAATAATAATTTAGAACTCAGTTACTATCACCAACGTTGCTATTTCAAAATTCAGAGCTCATAAAATTCAAATTCTAACTTCGCCACCGTATACTATATACCTTCATTGTTTTATAAAGTTCCATAATATTTATCGGGGTGTTGTTTAAAAAAATTGAGATATTTATGTACCGTCAAATCACAAATGTCAATACATAGAAATTAAACTCATTAAATAAAACCTAAAACCTTTACTTTGATTAAGGAGTGACATTGTATATCATTTCGTAGCAATAATGTTTGAACTAAACTCATTAAATAAAACTTAACACTTTTACTTTTGATTAAGTAGTGACATTATATATCATTTCGTAGCAATAATGTTTGACTAACACATGGTTTTATTATTAATTTTTGGGCAGGCTGGTATTCCTATCTCTGGCTACCATTCATCCCCTTGATTGTAAGTAGTAGTTCACAAGTTTACATCTTTCATTTGACATTATGTGGATGTCTCATTATCGTTTTTTCACATCATATATCAATTCAAAGCTTATATATATATATAACACATCATATTTCATTTACAAAAAAGGCTTAAATGGTGCATATAGTTGAAAGGTAGAGTAATAATCAATTCGTTTGGTAGAGTATATTAGCAAAAATAATATATGTATTAGCCTTGTGTATATTTATAGTTATTTTTTAGAGGTAAATTAAAAAAAAGGTATGGATGCAGGCGATGAGTGGCGTAGCCACAGCCACCCAAGGGTGTCCACGTCGAAAAATTATGTTGTATATATATGTCAAATTCTACATTTAAAAGATATATATTTAAAATTGGGCATCCTTGACAAAATTTATGCCTTTGATGCAGTGGTAATAATGAATATCCATTTGGTTGAAGGAGTTTTGGGCTTGAACCCCAAATAGTACAATATTTTTTTATTCTTGAACACCCTCAATAAAATTTCTCAATCCACCACTGCAGGTGATATTGTTAGTAGGGACAAAGCTACAAGTGATAATTACAAAAATGGGTCTAAGGATTCATGAAAGAGGAGAAGTAGTAAAAGGGGTACCTGTGGTTCAGCCAGGGGATCACCTTTTTTGGTTCAACCGTCCTCGTCTCATTCTTTATCTCATTAACTTTGTCCTCTTTCAGGTAATAATTGAAATTAACTATGAACTTCGTCGTTCATCTAATTTAAATGATCGTACCTAAGATAATCATTTTTCTTTTTTTGAATAAATGCAGAATGCTTTTCAGTTGGCCTTCTTTGCTTGGACTTGGGTAAGCACTCCACTTGTATTAATTTTTTATACCAAAATAAACGTTAAACAACTTTGGTCTTGTTTAACCATAAAAATGTGTCGATTAAAATGTTTGTATTTTAATTCTAGAGATCGGAAAATTATTTCGAGACTTGCACTGATTAATATTTTTTTCTTTTGGGAAATACCAGTATGAATTTGGGTTGAAATCTTGTTACCATGACCATACAGAGGATATTGTCATCAGAATAACTATGGGGTAAGAATTGTTACTTTGTAATTAATACTCTTTATTTTTCTTTGATGTTTGGCTATATTTTTTTTATTTCTTATCTTCCTTCAATTCATCATATATGTTGCTTAGACTATTCAAAAATGTTGACGTATACATGTCGACAGGGGCAGACCCACATAGAGTCCGCCGGGTGCTCAAGCACCCATTAACCTCGTTTTGAAATATATATACATCTATGTAGAAATTAAGAGGTATTTGTATAAAATTAACATAAAACATCCAATGAACAACTGATCTAACTGGTCCATTGGCTCTTGGGTGGGTGCTTAAGACTCTTTTAGTGTTATTGAGCCCGAGTTTGAATCTCATTGTTAACATGTCTTTTTTATATTTTTCAAGTCCGCCACTTTCAGAGCACCCACAACCTTCGAATACTACATCCGCTACTGCATGTCGATCCTCCAAAAATGTACAATTTTTGAATGATTCTACATGCACCTAGTGACATTATATTTTTGAAGAGTCTGAGCAATGTAACAATTTGTAACACTAACATATTGTAACGTTGTTATTATGAACAGGGTTCTCATTCAGATTCTGTGTAGTTATGTCACTCTTCCTCTTTATGCCCTTGTAACACAGGTAATAATTAAATTGTACTTATATAATTACTCATAGTTATCTTTTAGATGATTTGATGAGCGTATAAAATTAAACGGCAATGCTCAAATGTTGTGTATATATTACAGATGGGTTCAAACATGAAATCAACCATTTTCAATGAAAGAGTAGCAACAGCATTGAAGAATTGGCACCACACAGCAAAGAAACATGTAAAGGATCAAAGCAAGCATTCTAATCCAGTGACACCAATGTCAAGTAGACCAGGGACACCTTCTCATCATGGCATGTCACCCGTGCATTTATTGCGCGGACACTATAGGAGTGATATGGGCAGTCTTCAAAACTCACCTCGTAGATCAAACTACGATGTTGATCATTGGGACAACGAGGGCTCACCTTCACCCTCCCGATTTTACCAGGAGGCTGCTGATGGCTCGTTGCACCAAATTCAACTTGGTCAGTTGGACCATGAATCGCAAGAAGTTATCGGGCCTAATTCGTCACAAGTGGCTCCTCTACCACATGAGGGCCACGACCAACATGAGATCACTATTGCTGGATCAAGAGATTTTTCCTTTGAGAAAAGAACAACTAGTATATAGATATTATTTAATTAACAAGGGGCACATTATATTCTAGATTATTTTTATTAATTTATACTTGATTTCAGAGAAATGACGATTGTAAATTTGAGCCTAATTGCAACAATGGATCTCTGTAATTATGAGATGGAAAACTTGATCTGAAAATTCTACTAAATGCGAAAAAGATATTTAATTTTTCCATTTTCAATTGTGGTCAAGATGATAATAAAATTGCAGGAGTGCCAAAATGTTAGAGCGGATTAAAATTGGTTGAGTTGTAATGTATTTTCCAAATCTTCATGCTAATCCCCAACGGCCCCACTGTTTTATCCTCACTAGTTTCTGAGAACGTGATATCTAATTTTTTTTAGTTAAAATTTGTATCATAAAATAGTAAATCAAAAATATAAAAGTTATATAACTTAAAGAGAATATTTGTCGTTATCAAAATATTAAAGAAGTTGATCAATTATAGTACTAATAGATAGGCAACATAACCTAATAGCATCTTGTGGACCGTGCTTTAATCCTCAAGTAGTACTACGTGGTCTCCTTATATAATTATTCCAAGTTTCCAATAAAACATGACTCTTGCTTTCCTTTCATAATGCCAACAATATATGGGTCTCTTACTCTCCTCTCGCATACGATTTCAAACGTATAATTATATCTCATTGTTTCTATTAAATGTCAATAATAATTGTAGAAAATTAATTTAGAGCTAAACATAATTATCTTCTTCCTTCTATCTTCTTCAACATTACAAAGGAGGTTATGTTTACATTAAAAACACTTAATTTTCAATTAATGTTAGGAAGTTGAATCATATAAATTTAAAGTCAAGGAGAAGGTGCTCGTGCACGAGGAATTGACAGAGACATACCACTACTATATACAATTGGCAACATATAGCCCAATATTAATTAGCAATTAATAGTCCAAAAAAGAAGAAGCACGTAATAGCCTAAAAGAAATATAACGACTTTTTATAGTTTTTTTTTTAACCATGTGCAACCAACCGGCATTAATTAAGGAGATGTGGGATTATTTTTTCTTCATTATTTTTAACTCCTATAATTAAGGAAGTTAGCTTTTCAGTTTCTTTAAATTCTCAAACTCAACTTTATCATCACTCTATTTTTTTTAAAAATATATTAAACACAGTTTACAACAACATAAATATATATTTGATTGTAATTTTATAATTTATTTTTTTACCAACCGATAGTAATTAGTTTATTAAAAAATGGTTGCGTACTTTTAAGAAATGAAAAAAAATATATTATTAATTAACCCATTAAAAAAGGTTATATCAACTTTTAAGGAAGGATTTTTAAAATTCTTTAATTAACTTATCAAAAGACCGCGACTACTTTTAAGGTAAAAAAATATATTATTAGTGCTCAACTAATGTGTATTAATTATCAAATAATTGACAATAATTAATCAAATAATATAAGAAGCAATGTTTTTTATTAGAAACTGTAATAGCACGTATGCAAAAATTATACAAAACTTATAATGTATACATAAAATATTACCAACAATTATAGGTTATAACTATAATGAATACAAGAATGAAATTAATATGATAAATGTACAAATTAAATTTTATTCATAAATTGTACATGTGATTTTTGTTATGTATATGGTAACTGCACTATGTATACATTGGTTCGTATACAACTATATATTCATTAGTCTGTATTCACCTAATAAATTTGTACACATTTATTCAAATTGAGATTGACATTTATTGGCATACATTGGTTTGTATTCATCAAAATCAACATTCTAATTTTTTATGAAGATCTTATGAGAACATTTATTACCCATGAAATTGAAAACAAAAATTACAAATGCTATAACCTGAATTTTTGCCAAAAAAAGTTTAAAATTTTTAATTTCACAAATCACACAATTTCAAAATTAAGTGGGAAAAAACACTACATAATTATATATTAAAAGAAGATTTTGGGAGGACCAATGGATAAACATACATCTGATTTGCATAAACAAAGTAAATTAAGGAGAATAAGAAAAAATTTAGAAGAGCAACAAATATAAATATGAAAAAGATTTTAGAATGAAGATAAAAAAAAAGAATTAATAACCTAAATTTTCGCAAATTTTTTTTTGAAAAAACTTCAATTCCACAAATCATGAAATTCAACAATTAATTGGACAAGAACAAAATTATATATAAAAGAAGATAATTAGAAGTATCCATGAATAAACATATTGTTATATCTGATTTTCATAAACAAAGGGAATTAAGGAGAAGAATAGAAAATTTGGGAGAGAAACAAATATACGTTTAAAAAGAAGTCTAGAAAGAAAATAAAGGAGACAAAAAAGAGAAGAATTCTATTTTAAAATGGTTGACAAACAAAAAGTAGAGATAAAAAAGGGAATAATAAAACAATAAATTTTACCTTTTCAAGAAAAAAAAAGGAGCAATCAAATGTGTTTAGAGAAAAATATGGGGAACAAAATTAACTGCAGCAAAGATGCAAAGAAAAGACTCGCAAGTGTGAAAATTTTCTTTGTATTGATGCTTAGCAAAACAGTTTGTTACAAAGTTTTAAATAGATGAAAAATAATAAACGAAACAACACCTTTAATCTCCTAGAAAATCTGAAGCTAAAAACTGACTCCACTATTCCTAATTCCTAAAGACTAGGAAACTACTTATTTGACTCCTAAACAAATGCAACAACTAAACGATACTCCATAAACCTAACTGCCAACATTCCCTCTCTTAAACTGACATATCCTTCAGTTTAATTTGCAAACACCGAGCTGATCACGTAGCTTTAGGAATGACACTGACTTCAGGGGCTTTGTGAACATGTCTGCGACCCTGCTCTTCACTTCTGCAGTAAATAAGGATAATCTTTGCATCCTTAGTTAGATGAAGTGATACTTCACATCTATATGCTTACTTCGTCCATGTTCAACTAGATTCTTTGAAAGGTTAATAGCCAAAGTATTGTCACAATAAATTCGCGTTGGTCTTTGCTTAAAATGAAGTTCTTCAAGAATATTCCTCATCCAAATAGCTTGACAAGCACATGACGTTGCAGCAACATACTCTACCTCGGTAGTTGACAAAGTAACAATAGGTTGTTTCTTTGAAGACCAAGAAACAACTCCAGACCCCAGCATGAAAACATATCCCGATGTACTTTTCATGTCTTCAAGATTTCCAGCGTAGTCGCTATCAGTGTAACCAACCAAATATCCAGCTGCTTTCTTTTTATAAAAAAATCTGAAATCACTAGTACCATTCAAGTACCGCAAGATTCTCTTGGCAGCTTGTAAATACATCTCTTTTGGACATTCCATGAACCTGCTAATGAGACTTACAACGGGCATAATATCAGGCCTTGTTGCTGTCAAGTACATCAAGCTTCCAACAATTTTCTTGTATAAAGTGTTGTCCACTTTTCTCCCTTCAGGTTCTTTGACGAGATTCAGACCCTTCTTCATTGGTGTGCTTACAGTGTTGCTATTTTTCATCTGGAATCTATCCAGAATATCTTGCACATATTTCTTTTGAGAAACAAAAATACCATCAGCAGATTGATTCACTTCTAGACCAAGAAAATAATGCATCATACCTGTTGTGTCGTAATTTGACTATTTCTAGAAAAATCACTTTTTGAAATGTTCTAAGTATAAAACAATTTCGGAAATACTTAGAAAGAGTCGCCACTTAATTTTTTAAAGAAATTAAGAAAACTTATAATTTTCAAAGATTTAAACAGAAAAAATCATTTGAAAATACCAAAGAGGGTTCGGGGTTCAATTTACACTTCGAGAAGGGTTTAAGTATTCGAAGTGTCCGCTAACATGCGGTTGACCTGCGACTTGACTAAAATGTATTTGACTATTTTTTAGGAAAATAATGATTTAAAATAATTAACTTACAATATTTGAAAAATGATTAAATAAATGACGCATTTTTTTGTTTTATTTTTTAGAGGAAGGGATCCAAAATGATACATTTGACTCAAAATACAAGATTAGAATATTAATAGAATTAGATTAATTAGAATTTATTTAATTCATTTTTTTGAAATAATAATTTAAACCAATTTAATAAATTAAAGCATCAAAATCATTTCTTATTGAATGACTAAACCTTTTGAGAAAATGACTAAGTAAGTATTTATAATAATAATTTACATTACTAGATTAACTTTGAGAAAGTAGTTAAACAAGGAGCAATTTTTATTTTTTAAGCAAATGGGACCTTAATTGAAATATTTGAATTAGAGAAAGTAATTAGAAATTTATCGAAAACTAAATTAGTTGTTTTTTATTTGAGTCATTTTTCGGTTTATGGAAAAAACTATTTTAAACTAATAAAATAATAAAATAAAATAAAAAGTTTTGACTAAAGATTACAAATGAAAATACAAGAGTTGATAAAATGAGATTTGTTAGAAATAAAACAACACAGAGAAATAGTTCATCTTTTGGGGAATTCGATTAAGTTGATTTACAATTATAAAGTTAGAGTTAAACAACCAAACAATAAATAATCATAATTAAATAATTAAAGGTAAATGAGAAATGAATTTGGGCCCCCTTTTTGGGCCAATTTTGCTGAAAATTTTGGCCTTTAAACCAATCCCGTTTTGCATATACACCGGTTGTATATCAGTGTATATCGGTCGTTTCTTAGCCCTTTTTCCTGTATATCAATCCATATACTGGCTATATACAGTTTGCTTGGACGCCTCCAACCTGTATCTCGTTTTTTTTGGCCATATATTTGTTATACTGAACCTGTATATCAGCATATAATGCTGTATACAGCATGTATACAGCCCACTTTTTTGGGCTTTTTGAGACCTCCAACCAGTCCTTAACCCCTGTAAAAATTCGCTTAAGGCTGACTCGATGGAGAGAGATTGAGCCTCTATGGCTCATCTCGAGAATGCAAGAGAGAAAAAGTCTCCCACGAACTCGGGAGAGGTTCATACAACAAAAGAGGGAAGGCAAAATTAGCATATGAATAAGATAAAACAAATGCGACATAACTCAATTGAAGCGAAAGCTATTTAAGAAATTCGAAACTAAGATGCAACCCATCCCAACCATTAGACCAAAAGAAACAGATGAATTTTTAGAAAAAAGACAAAAATGAACTAACTTAACAATGACAAGAGTTGACAAGCCAACTTTGATACTAAGCCA